GTCCTATTTGCAACAATGCGTCGAAGGTCTTAATGAAGATGGTGTTAATCCCATCCATATAGAGGAGTCATGTAATCAAAATTGCACTCCAGAATTTAGCCCTTTGAGTGCTTTGAATGCCTACGAGGAACTTCGCCGGACATTAGGTTACGCTCTGCGAGAATGCGAGCGAGGAAGGGAGCCGCTTCGGATTTTGTTAGAGGATGGGCGAAAGTCCATTGTAGATCAAATAGATGAAAACAATTCCAACCTGCCAACAACGGGCGTTGAAGCCGAAACAGAACAACATGATGAACAACTCAGTTCAGGCGACTCCGATAAGACGCTTTATAACATTGATGATCCCGTTTCGGATCCGCGAGAAGGCGAAATGAAAGTCGAAGACGATGCAACAAATCATCTTCTTGATTCTGCCAGCGTGCAGCATTTACCTCCTCCAGGTATTGAGCAAGTATTTGAAGCCGAGTCAACACCAATCAGCTTTACTCGGTCACGCTCCAAATCAACGCGGGAAGAACGAATAGCTTTTGTCAGAGCTCAAAGGAAAGAGGGCATCAGAGGTTCTCTCGGTGCGCCAAATAGGCAATCTTTGGGTTTGGGACCTGGGGGTGAAGTTGTGCAAGAGCTGAAAGATGTTATATGGAAAGTGAGCGAACAGCGGCGACAAATGAGTTTAACACATGTAGCACCGATTACTTTTTCAAAACTGTCGCTAAGTCCTGAGACCTGATTCATGGATTTCAAATGCATACATACCGACGACGTCGTTGTGCGATAATGTGTTGTTCTCGATTTGTGGCCTTCAGTTTATCGCTTATCGCTTTTATTCTTTTACGACATCACACAATGATATTTCGAGAAAAAGAAATTATTGGTCGAGATACAGAACAGACAAAGAGCACAAAACGCACATGTGCAAAAAAAGGATACCAAAAACAACTAAGTATTAGAAAAAAGTTTCTGAAGAGAGATGTGTGATGTGCGTTTAAAACGGATACAAAGTATATAGGGGTTCGAGGGTAAGTAGCAAAGCGATATCGGATAGGAAGGTGTATGTCGGACGATTGGGTTGGTGGTAATGGCGAGAGCCTGGATAAATATGAACTAGGTGATAAGACTAGTAAATACTAGATTGGGAACGGAGAGCAAAAAAGAATATGCAAGAGATTCGGGTAGATAAATCATGGAAGGAGTAGCTGTTGACAGCGGGGAGAGCATTTTTCAACTAATTTATTGGATTCATATCGATCCATTGGGAGAAGTCGCTAGGATCAATCTCTAGTCCGTCGAGATTGAAATTGTCTTCCATTGTATCAAAAAATCCAGTAAATATACTATCTGTCAGAGATGGTGCAGATGATGAAGGGGGGGCCGATGATGGTGGTGGTGGTGCAGGGGCTGGAGAGCCATTGGCTATTGATGCTGGATTAGAGCTGTTAGTTTGGGCATTGCTAATATTATCCGGACCAGATGGCTGTGGTCGAGAAAGGGATCCAATTGCTGCATTGGGCGATATACGATTCGAGAGCACCGATGGAGAAAGAGCGTTTGAAGGGTTGTTACTGTTGCTTCCAACTGTACCAGGAGGGACGGGCGTTGGAGGATTACCAGGAGCATTCTGCGAATTCGAAGGCTGATTTGAGTTTTGTGGTGCAGACATACCGGCACCGCTTCGGGAGGCGGGTCGCATGCTAGGAGATGACCCTGTGGGAGGATCTAAACGAGCAGGGGAGGGCGCGGTCTGGTCTTTTGCGGACCCAGTATTACTATTTGTAGAGCTCCCGGGGGCAGGCTGTGGTGGTGGCATCATATTGGCAGACTTTGGTACGTTAATACTTTCTGGTCTGTGTCCAGGTGAGGGTGGTGGCATCATGCTTCCGGGCTTATTTTGCTGGGACTGTGCACGATTGCCTTGATCTGGGGCAACGCCTTGATTGGTCATACCACCCATCGCGCCAGGCATCTTATGCATGTGCGTCCCAGGTGTGATAGGATGTCTAAACGCTCCCTGTTGCTGAGGCAAGGCAGGATTCTGTGGGTATGTGAGAATGAAAAGAAAAATGTAAGGAATGTCCTGTTTACCTGTGATCCAGGCATCTGGTGAATATGAATATGCTGATTCGTCATTGCAGGATTCATTGGTGCCATACCCCCTGGAGGAGGCATCGCATGTCCCATACTCGGTGTCAAGGAACCCATCGGCATTGCATTCACATGGGGACCTGTTGGGACAGAATGCCCTGATATTGGTCCATTTCCCATCTGACCAGCGCGAAAGCCATTAGCAAGGTGAGAGGCACCCGGGCCAGGATATGTTCCTCCCGGATGATTCGTAGGGTGACCGGGAGAGCCACTCATCGGTGTCATTTGAGTCTGGGGACCAACGTTCAAGTTCATGTCCCCACCGAGAGGATTAGATTGTCCCATTCCTACTTGGGGAGAAGGCCGTTGACGCTTCCTATCAGGCGGAGACTGATCTTTTGGTGTGGTGTCTGCCTGCTATATAGGTATAATTAAAAGAGGGATGATTATTTAAATATGGAGACAAAACGTACTTCATCACCAGGCGATGTGCTTGTTCTTTTCTGGCCCCGCTGTGTTGCACCGGGGCCTTGTGTTTGAGGACCCTGTTGTTGACGAAGCTGAGGGGCTTGAGGAGGGGGAGGCATCGCGCCCGTCATCGGTTGAGGCTGACTCGCCCCAGGTCTGAACAAGGTCACAAGTTCGGACTTTAACTTGTACTGACGTTTATTCGAATAAACAAATGCATACCTGACGTTTCTAGAACCGGGTGTTAAAGTGCCATTAAAGTTCGAAATTATCTTTTTGAAAGCTTCATTCACGCGAGCCTAAATGTTCTTTTTAATTGTATAGTATTATGCACTTACTATATCTACACACCTTTTCTTCGTCCGTCAAGGTTCCATAATCACGATCCGGGACGCCAGCCTCTTGCTTCACAGAAGCTAAGAAGACCGGGGGTATCCTAGCTAAATCCTGCTCCAATCGTTGAAACTCGGGGGTACTGATTGGTTGTGAAGTTCCTGGACGGGAAAGTTGCTGCGGCGCTCCCTGAGATTGCTGGGGTTGAGAGGGAATCATCGACTGTTGAGGGGGCCGGGGAACTTGCATTGACATTTGGAAACGTCGATTTATGTCGTCGTTCATTGACTGACCGGGGGATGCAGATTCATTGGGTAGTGATGACATCGAAGGACTTCGATGATTTATAATGGTGGTCGTTGCTGGGGTCACCGAGCGGCTGCCCCCCGATCCTTGAGGGGGAGGGCCTATGGCTCCTCCAGGATTCATAAGAGGTTGTTGGTATCCTTGCGTTGGGGTTTGAGATGGTCCTCTTGGAGAAGGATTGTTTGCCTGTTGTCCGCCTTGTGTTTGGGGCGGGTTGCGCATCAGGTGAGAGTGTTGAGCCATATGAGGTGGATTCTGTGGGATTCCTGGAGGAACCATGCCCATATGTGGGGGAGCCATTGACGGGTGAGGTGGAACGCCTGGAGGATGAGCAGGAGTCATAGTTGGCGACTGGAACTGCCCAGGATTATGAGATCGGGGCCCCGGTCGCTGGCCAGGTTGCAAATGCGGCATAGCGTTAGGGTGTGATGGAGGGGGGAGCGGCTGCTGTGTACCGGGACGAGTCGGCTGTTGTTGAGAAGGAGGTCTCTGAGGATTTTGACCTGCGTTATTTAGTGGATTGTGTGAATCCATAATGCCAGTCACCTGCGATGGACCCGCTTGTGGTTGTTGGTGTTGCGGTTGCTGGGGTACACCTGACAAACCGGGCATGGGATAAGGCATACCCTGCGCCCCAATTGGAGGCTGGGATTGCCCAACGGGTGGCATAGACACACCATTTACCATTGGACCGGAGGGTCGCATTGGGTTTTGAGGAGGTCCGCCTCTATGTAGCAAGCGAGGTTGGCCTGGTAAACCGGGTCGAGATGGATCAGCAGCCCTATTCCGATCTGCTTGACTCTGTATCCACTGTTGCGTAATGGTTGAGAGATTAATAACAAAGAAGAAGAAGAAGATATACTTGCTTGAAAATAAAGTAGAACATTGTCTGGCCCTTGACCAGTGGTCTTTGCAGAAAAAAACATCCAGAATACGCTCCACCACCTTATACAAGTTCAGAATTTAGACTATTGTGTTGTGAATATACTTACTCGAACAGAAAACCCTGGCGAGCATTGATAGGAGGATACGCATCACTACCAATGTCTGCCTCTATAACTAGTTCCTTTGCGGTTCTGTGAAAACCGCGCTTGATGAAATAATCGTGTATATACACATTGAACCTACCCAAGAGGTTATAAAGGCTTGTTGTTAGGGGAAAACATAATGGGTACTTACATTTGGTCGCCTTCCCATGAGATCGGCGGTTGGGAGTGGTTGGGAGGCGAAGGACCAGGCTGACCATTAATATTCGGATGAGAAGGATTAGGCGGGGACGGTTGAACTTGAGCCATAGCTCAAGAAGAAGAATAAAAGCACAGGTAAAGGACTATGAGCAATGTATCGTCGTCGTCGTAGCTGTGTTGTAGCGCCTGCTGATAGGATCGGATTAGTGGAGTTGTTAAGGCGCCTAAAAGAAGGGTTTAGCTGGCAGCTAATTTAGGGGTTGCACACTGAGATGGATAATGAGATAAACAACGTCTTCGATCTGAGTGACGTTGAGACGAAAGGGAGAGGATGACGAACGGAAAGAAGATAGAACAAGAGGGGTAGGGTTGCACGCTGGATCTTGGCGGGAGAGTGCACGGCTATTCAAGCTCCGACCGCCATGCTATGACCAATTTTCAACCAATAAGCAATTCTCTTCCCGCCTGGATTCCGTTGTTGATATACTGGCTGAGAACGACGGCGCGCTGATCCCGCTTTTCGGTTTTCCCTGACCCTTGAAGCTTAATCACCTGCTGTAAAATGTATATCGTCGTTCGGAATGATGATGATGTTTAATGTTTGTCCTAACTTCTACGGTTACGGACCCCATAGCTCAGTGGTAGAGCGTGAGATTCCAGCTTTTGATGGAACATCCTCAAGGTCATCCGTTCAATCCGGGTTGGGGTCAATTTTTTTTCTAATTAGAGCTCCCATTATATTACCAAGCCCCCTTTAGGCCATGAAGCTACCGCGAATCGCCGTGCCCCGTCAGCTTTGTCAACATACGGTAATGAACTCATTCAAGTTGCAACTCGCAAATTCGCTCAAAATGCGCATATGAAAAATCAAATACAATCTAGTAGATATGTAATGCAATTAAGCACTGGCATTGTTTCGTATTTTAATAAGATGTCTAAAAAAGACCTGGAAAGGCGCGGCAGCAGGTTTTTTTAATGCTAACCTTTTACTAGTAGGTGGGATGGATTTCCTTCACATTTCAACCATATCAAGAACTAGACCTGTCAACTGCCGATGGCTCCTTACCGACGTTTTCACAGGCGTGTTTGATTAGGACGGTACCTGTCTAAGTGTTCATTACCGCGAACAAGGGAACTTGTTTTGAGTGGATCCAAGGTGTAAGCTTACTGCACTTTTATGCATAATCATGATCGGATGTGATAACCAACAGAATAAGCGGTAACTGAATACTAAGCTGACGTTGGCTTCGAACCTTGTTACCCTCTAATGCCAGTCACCTGTCAAGACTTGGGGATTAGCGAGACAATATAAAACGCTGCCAGGATAGCAAGGTTAAAAACATCTCCCTCAGGGTTCAATGCGGTTTTCCAGCTTCAAATTTGCTTCGCTAACGCCCTTTATTATCTTTGCTTTCACTTCCGCCACTCCCTCACTTCAAAGGTCGTTTGCGGGGTGTAATGTCTCACAGGCTGTCATCCCCATTGGTCAATCCGGTTTGACAGTAGCACCTGCTGGACAAAAGCCTATCAATATTGCCGTATGTCATGTTTGAGATATTGGATAACCTGTAACCAGACGTATTGAATCGATACTACCTAGCTTGGAGTTGGTACACAAAATTATACATGCAGTGCTTCGGGGACATTCGCGTACATTTCCCTTTCTTACCTTAAAAGATATTATTTTTTTGACTTCCGGGCAGGTCGATAGGAGCTGTTGCTACTCTTTTTGACGCCTCGTGCATCTTCGAAGTCATAGACGATTTGACCATTAAAACAATTACTCCTCTTGAAATTGCCATCGACATATTGCAAACAGCATTAGGAAAATCCCCCACAATTCTGGGACATCACTTTTTCATTGACAACCCAACCGGCGCGGTGGGTGTATCTCCGACATTCGATTTTCGTTCTAACTCAGAGCGAGGAAATCCCGAAGCCTTTGTAGTCACGTCCAAATCTGAAGATGTTAAATCCCCCAACAATCCTACCCATAACGTTGACTGGCTTCAGCTTATAGCAATTCCTGGCCAAGGTGAATTAGCTAGCACAATATACAGAATTCTTACTCTGGGCGGTCAACCTCCAGCATCTGTATGTACTACCTTTGTTTTTCTACTATGTGATTCTAACCGTTATATATACCTTTCATATTAGTGTGCACCTGGCTGTGCACCTATTACTGTTCCTTATGCGGCGAACTATTGTATGCTATACATCACGCTATTTATACTTCATTCCTAATTTCTTTTCGTAGGGTTTTTCAAATAGGCTACGGGTACAACATTCGAAAGTTGAAGTTTGAAGTGCTCTGGTGGTAATTAATTATAAGCTCTACATATATACTCTGCTGGTCAAACTGCTGGTCAAGATTCTTAGACAACGTTGAACGCGGACTAGTTGGGGTACTTCAAGTTGACATGATGGCACAATTTTTAGGTACATGTATGTATCCATCCAACTGGCTTTACCCGAGCTTAATAAGACCACATTCATATCGGCCATGGGTGATAGATAGTATATACCTAGCGCAATAGTGAATACACCGGGTATCTTAACGCAGAAACCGGTCTCATGGGCAAATGTCGAGCCAAGGCATAGGTATTTATGTCCCGGATCACGGTGCGGATAAAGAACGGGCTTATTAAGAGTGAATTTAAGACGATCTAAGCTGGTAAGTATGTAGGAACAAGATCTTGACTTCTTCGATCCATCCCTGGTTCATCTGCATATCGGGACCTCGTAGCACACGATTCGCTGACACGTGTAATTGTCACGCTATCAATAGAGAACCAGTATATTGTATGTAAGCCATATCGGCGAAGGCCCGGAATAAATTTGTAAAAGGAATAATTGGCTTGCGACATGGGCCTTAATTTTTGTTGGGCGGACAATCGAAACGAGTTCACATTGAAGCTGACGTCGCAGTTAAGTTGAGACTATGATAGAGCTGATTGCGTATACATGCATTGTGACTGTTGCATTGAGAATTATTAAAGGTTGGCAGTCTCAACTCGATAGCATGCCTCCATAGCGGTAGAATAATTTGGATGAGACCGTGGTTGAAGACTTGGAACATATTCATATTTGGGCATTACATTTTGGCAGGGGATTTGTTGTCAATCTAGTGCTTCGTCTGACGGATGAGGCGGATGCAGAGCCGCCACTGGTAAAGTTTATATACAGTATGATACACATCAAACTGATGACAGTCAATGTTGAACAAAGCGTCAAACTATGCATGGCCAGAAAAGACAAGATCTCCATATAGTGGGTGTCTATGTCACAAATGCAGTAGCCTATTACGATTTTTTTGGATGCATAGCGTGTGGGAAAAGAAATAAAATATTAAAAGGAGGCCGTCGGTTAAAAGTGACTTCATTTTAAAAATGTGAAGAGACCTACCAAGCGAGGTCATAAAACATGGAAACGCTAGATAACAGCATGGTCGATTGGTTTTACATCGGAAGGCCTTCCCCAATGTTCAATGAGGAAATCTGTCAAGAATTGGTATACTTCACGGTTGGCGCCTCGGGTAAAGATAGAATGATCGCTGGACAACAATATTGGGTTTTGTTCTAAATAAAGAGGTATAGACCAACTATACCTGTCGGTATAAATTCTAAGACGGTAATCTCGAATTTGAGCCGCCGTGAACATATCAATTAAATGAGCGGTATTAGCAAAATGAACTGATAAATTTAGGTATTTTCTCTACATTAGAGTGAAGAGACACATACCGTTATCGTCCCCGGTGCCGTGCGCCAGCAAATATTTAATATGCGCGAATGGTTTAACATCCGAAATAGATGCATTTACATATCCCCCTGGATTTTTATCGGGTAAACCCATGTATCTCTCCGTGTAAATGGTATCTACCTTTCACCATCAATATCAATCAACTATACTTGATACTAAACTCACCGTATAGAAGCCAACTCGTTACCGGCTAACAGAGATACATAATGTAAATTTATCCAATGGAGTTGACTGGGGGTCGACTTACGGCAACTGACATAGCTAAATTATGCACTTGAGCATCCGCTTCAGCAACCTTAGCAGCCATAAATCCTCCATAAGACTAAGGAATATTGAGCAAAAATGGTCTCCCCCCTTCCCCCCTTTTAAAAATTCAACCTCCACTTACCCATCCCCAAACACCAATCTTGGTGGAATCCACGTAGGGTTTCGAGGCCCAGTGTCTAAATAACAAATGTAACTATACCGCATCCCTTCTATAAGATAGAACGATTACCTGGCTGCATAAATTTGGTCTCTTGTTTCATAAAAACCTAGGTCCCCCTTCACGGGGTTGCGTAATTTTCTTCCTCTAAACCCAGTCCCTCTTCCATCCACAACAACAACAATATATTGAAGGGTACAAGCGACATAAGTATGCCAATCCATGCTGAACCTTCTGTCGACAGTTTGCGAACCAGGGCCTCCGTATCTAAAGAGGGGATTCGAGGTGCCGCGCAGAGGAGCGGAGTTTACTTACACTCGAAATAAAACTGGATATTTAACACTGCCAGACTCATCCATATTCGGAGGACGGATTTCTAATGTGTTCATTTCTAATTGTCCAGGTCAACGCGCGGGGGTACCGGTAATAGTAACAAAAAATCAAATTACCATAACCTTCATTTTCAATAGTGGAGTAAACGAGCGTCGGTTCGTAGAATTCTTTTACTCTGTTGGCCAATTTCGAATTGTTAGTAACGACAGTGGGATTTTCTGGATTTTATCATCGAAACTGTTCCATAATAAAAAAAGTATGGATACACACCGGTATCATCAACGTCAACCAATTTCTGCCATGGAATACCCGGGCCGTTGTAATTTAAAAGATAATAACCACAAAAAGGTGACAGGGATGCACCATAATATGCGCCTTTCTCAGAATCTAAAGCGATTGAAACCGGCGTAAACACTGTTGTAGATGTTAGTTGCGTTACGTCCGGAATAGTGACATAATAAGGGTCTCGACCCGTTCCAGGTTGAGTAGCGGACAGATAGTACCTACCAGAGAGGTCAAAAAATCGAAATTACACGAGTTAAGTAAGTATAGACCTACACCCTCCGACGTGATGAATCTATACCAAGAATATCGACAACCTCATCTTTACCAAAAGTAATCCACAAAGGGCCAGATTGATTGGGAGGATTAAATAGCGCAATTTGATTATATCCATCTTTTGTGGGGATAATATCAAGATAAGCACCTTCCTCTAGTCCCAAAGATTCTGGAAGGGGTCGAACGTTCTGCGACTAGATGATATACATATTGATTAGAAATTCAAAAACTCAGTCTAGACCCCTCCTTACGGAATCAATCCAGCCATCATCACCCTGTTCGCCATCTTTGCCAAGTTTCCGAACGACTATACCACGAGCTCCGATATCCGTCTCTTGTGTTTCCAAATTGCATAAAACAACACTGCCTTCATCAGCCGCCCGATTCACTTCTTTGATAAGCAACGTCGTATTTCCCACCCAAACGACTTCTTGAATAACGCTGTCATTCAGATCTCGCCGACCTTTCCATGTAATCTCTCGGGTAAATTTGCTAGGAGGAGAAGTTGGAACGGAGAGCTGCTTTTGGTATCTATCCAGGTCGAAGGTATGTACGGTTACTAGAGGATTCGGGTAACCCGGTTTAGGGTATTTCATGGTTACAGCGTTTGTATAAGGGAAGACTGCATGAGGGTCA